GCCCTGGGTTCAAATCCCGCAAGCGGGGTCGTGAATGCACACTGCTGAGGAGTTCCATAGTTAGACGAAACAACCGTCTACTGCTTTCAGATTTTTCATGATAGTCTAACTTTAATTGACTCATCAATTCAACTAGTAAATTAATGTGAAATAAGAAATAATGAGCTGAATAATTTTTCTTCGTATATTGAATATACAAATTACGAATTTGTTTGCCAATAAAGTGGTTCTTAAAAGCTGATAAATTATTCGTTTCACATGAGCAATTGTGTTGGCTATTGGTAAATTAAATTACTGTTTTTTGTGTTATTTTCTGTGACAATTGCCTACTATGAGATTGAACAAACCAGCTTCTAGATGAAAATGAAATTAGTAAAAGACGATGGAAGTGGATATGAATGACATTGTAGAAATCATCAAACTATATCACAATGCAAGTGCTAACCTTAAACCTTGGATGTAAACGAAAACGTGAAAGATTGAAGAGCACACTGTATTGAGAATTGGAAGCAGGTATAAAGAGAATGTATAGCAACTGGAAACGATTGCTTAGGACAGAGTCAGATGTAGAATGGTGATGAGCGGCCTATGTTCCACCACGAGGGGTAACAAGCATAAGTAAGTGAAAAAGTTCGATGACGACGTTATGATCTTACTCACTATTTTCTTCCTTTTGATTTCTTTTTCATAAACAAATTTTCACTATTTACTTTTACAAGTAAGAAGTTTATCACCAGTTATGTTTTCAACTGTGATTTCCACTTGGAATATGGAAAGCTTCATTGAAAAAAAAACTTAGTTTTTGTATCCTATCTTGTGTATAGTGTTGAGAATTTCTGATAAGTTATTAGAATACTGCATATGTTTGTTTTTAATAATTACATTACAACGGTACATCTGTGGTATGTTCTACTAATGTTGACAGATAATATAAGTAGTATGTATCATTAATTGAAAGTGTATTGCTTGGCATCAGATGGTTAAGAAGATGGAAGAGAAAAGAACGAGAACAAAGAATGATTACTGTGGAAATGAAAGAATATTGAAGTCTGAGACGATTGATTAATATTTTACAAATGAAGTATTATCAGCGCACTGCTGAGGAGTCCCATACTAGGACGAAACGGCCGTCCAGTGCTTCCAGGTTTTCCATGGTGGTCTAGCTTCAATTGATTCATGATTTCAACCAGTGAAATGAAGTATTCACTGTATGGTTCTCAGATTTTACTAATACGATTGTCTGTACTTGTGTTCTTAATCAATACATGTCTATTAACCATAATACTTGAGTAGGATTATTTACTATACAACAGATAGTAATAACCAAATTAATATTCATCTACTTATCAATACGAAAACATAAACAATATTCATCCATCTCATAACTATTCTACATAAGATGTCGACTGAAAATGGTCATTGAATTTTATAATTTTACTTCATAGTAATTCATTTAATCTGTGGTTTGTCTTCTATCATTGTTTTCTTGTTTTGTTCCTTTTTACTGAATCGTTTAGTAACTAACATATGCCAACATGAGATTGATCAATCGTAGTCCTAAATAACAATGGAAAGATACAAGTAAAACAACACTAAGTGAATTTAAACTTTAACCTATTGCATAAGCAAGTGGCTATCAGGATTCAGTAGCTTACAGGAAAACATGGTGTTTAAAGCGAACGGTATTGGGTTCGAATACCGAAGAGAACATCAACAAGTTTGAGGTGCAGGTAAATCCAGGTGACGAATTCCATATAGGATAAAACATACGTCCTGAATTCCACTGTTATCCACTATCCATCTTTGCTTCTAAAAACTTGTGACATAATGTGATATCGAGGCAATCCGCACAGGATGTACATATACCAATAAGAGACTGATCAATTGCAGACCTAAACATCAATAGGAAGATTCAAGTAAAACAACACCAAGTGAACTAATAGTTTATATTTAATCACAATTGACTGATCACTGGGTGGTGATCAATGTCATGCATGTCAAGTCCTTATTTAGTGCAATGTGGCCACCAGTCTAGGTGACTCGACATTGCGGGCACTATATATTGAGATTAGATGGTGGTTGGAGGTAGTCGACAGGAAACCCTGGACCCGGGTTTCGTGCTACTTGACTGAGTGGTAACGTCTCTGACTGTGAAGCTGGGTGACACGAGATCGAATCCGCCAGGGAGCACCAGTTCCCTCAAGATTACAGGTACACCTTGCTGACGAGTGCCAAGTAGCACGAAACCCGGGCCCAGGGTTTCCTATCGACTACCTGCGACCACCATCTAGTCCCAGTTTATATTTAATTTTTTTCCTCAGTAACGTATGTTTGTTCAATTTTCAGTTTTTCTTAGTTGTAATACTCGTAAAAATATTAAGATTTTTTGAGAAAAAAATTTTTACTGACGGTAATTAGAAATTCTATGAATAACACCAAACAGAATAATGAAGGTTGGCATTTTTAGGGACTCCAAAAAAAAAGATTCAAAGTGCTATTTATATACATCTAGACTATATAGGTATATATGTTAAGCTGTACATGTAATGAATAGTGTAAATGATCAGCTGAACATTCAATAAAACAAATGTTCGAAGATACACAGTTTTGTTTATATCACGGAGTAATCACTGTGAAATATGTAACTATCAACATAAGGGTTACTATAAAATGCCCTAGTACGACTGAGAATGGGGAGAGTTCACTCTCCCTCACATGGCCACACGTATACAGTCATTTTCAGGGAAGTAATATTAACTACCTTCTCATAGTGGGAGTGTTGTTCACGTAATTGAGAGGTTGAAAAGTGAATGTTCGGCGCTTTAACTAGGTTGGTGGATATAAAGGATTTATCTAGAGAAGTTGGAAAACCCTGATTCCAAACCAACGGTGCATATGGACTCCAATATCCTGAAAGAATAGATGACGTATGTACCTATTGTTGGTCACCGGCTACCATGAGATTGCATTTCTTTACGTTACTCCACTGGCTTGTGGATTAGATCTGTAGGTCGAAGTCTCCGAGTGTGGCCCCCTAAGAAAATCACCTGCTTCGGTTTGGACACCCAATCAGTAGCACACCCCTCACTCAAATCCAATGACTTGTGCAGCATATATTTATTCGGTTCCCCTTTTTTACAAATGTTTATGGGTTCATATAAACAAAATAAATATATAATGGTTGTCTGCTTAGTTAAATGATTTTTTCAAAATATAATATCACCTAGATTGGTTAAAGAAACAAATGTTAATAATGAGGTAATATAAATTTGAATATACCTGAATTATCCTAGGTCTATAATTGCTGACATGACAAATGACAATAATAGAGAGAATGAAAAGCGAATGTCCGTAGCCTTAACTGCGTTGATGAATATCGAGCAAAAGAAGTTGGAAAACCCCGTAGATATATGCTCTAAGACCTTAAGGGAACAAATGGCATATGAACCTATTGTTTTGTCATTGGCTACCATGGGATTGTATCTCCGAATGTTACTCCACTTCCTTGTAGATTAGACCTTTAGGTCAAAGGGTGTGACCCCTTAAGAAAACCATCTGCTTCAACTTGGTCACTCGGACAGTATTCCGGTCCTTATAAAAATGTGACGCATATATATCTAATACCTCCTTGTACCAACACTTAGATAAATTATCAATATAATCATTGCAATAAAAATTTCTTTTAGAATCAACTAGTTATAATTATTAAAAAAAAATTAAAAGAGAAATTACTGAAATACACTTTGATGCAGTTTTGTTCTCTGAACTGGATGGTTTAGTCATGGAGCTTTCATCAATATCATCAGCTGATAATGTCGATAATGATGACAATCAAATTTTCATGACCAAACCAATCCAGCTTAAAGAACAAAACTTCATCAAAATCATTCATCTCAGCTATAAATCTTCTCAATCAATTAAAATACACTATTTGAAGAATAAAAATGGCAATCATACTGTGTTAATTATTCACATTAACTTCATTATCATAATAGACTAATCATTATTTAAATTATAGTTTTGTCATAGAACAAACCCGCATAGCATCTAATTATGACCTGTTCACTATTATTATGATTACTATTGTATGCATAGACAATAACTAATTAGTATCACAAAGGGTTAGATTGATAAATCAAATCCAAGTAAATAAATAAATTCATAATTCAATGTCAATAAGTTTCTTGTTTATTGTCTTTAATTATGGTCATTCCAATTTCATTAATTTGATACTTAATGCGGGCTTTTATTACACACACACACACACGAACATACATACATACAAAAACAAACAGACAAACAAACACAAAAGACTTGTCATCATACTACTTATATTACTTTAATTAATTTAGTATCCACCATTATGAAGATTTTATTGGAATGATGTTAGCTAACGGTACCGAGATTACTTTTTATGTATTTTATATAAAAAAATATATATATAAAAAATACAAAAAATACTTGAATATGATTGGTTGTATCTTTTCAACCAATCAAAATTAAGTATTCATTATAATGACAAAACCAATACCATGACAAATAACCGAATAAAATAAGAATTTTTTTTCTAAATTTTTTTTATTTTAGGGGTTAGGGTTAGGGTTAGACAAAAGAAAAGGAAATAAGGTTGGATGTTGTGTAGGTGTGTATAGGTGTGTGTGTGTGTATGTCTATGTGTATCTATGTTTGTATAGTGGTATGTTTGCGTCATTTACAGATGCTGATCACAAAACCCTTATGTCATTATTAGATATGTGTATGTATTAGGTCAAAAAAGAATGTTTTAAAGAAAACTTCAATATTACATCATTCTGCATGTGTTACATTGTTCCTTATACTGTATTTTGGTTGTTGTTAAGGCTTACAATAGAAAAATTATAAAGATTATCAACAATATTATTGTCTTTCAAATAACTTTTATGATTTTTGTTTTACGGGGTTAAAAACGGTAAATTGTTTCTATTCTATTAAAGATTATTTATATTAAAATCATTATGTTAATGGATGATGTAAAACTTCAACAATCTTTAACATTTCATGTATCCCTACCATCAATGAATTCATCGGATATGGGAATAACAGCGAATAATAACAATAATAATAATAATAATAATAATACTATTAATACTACTATTGCTAATAGCAATGTGGATCCAATTTATATGAATCATAATAATAATAATAATAATAAAGAAAAGAACTTATCCACTACTTCTACAAGAATACAATCACCATGTTATGGAAATATTAATTCATCAACGAATATTCCTATTACTACTAGTCCATTAACATTAGATCATTGGTCTGCTACATTATTAGCAGCACAAGCATTAGTTAGAACAAAAAAAGTATTTATTGGTGGTGTTTCTACTGGAACTACAGCTGATGAATTAAAAACATTTTTTAGTGAATTTGGTAAAGTAAGTAATAAAACTTGTCTATTTATATAGATTATTATTTATTTGATACATAATTATTATTGTGATGATAGAGAGGATTTGTAGTACAGATAGATGATTTTAATGGAGTTTTATTCTCTGAGCTCGATGGTTTCGTTATGGAGCATTCATCGTCCTTCTGAACGATATCATCGTCAGTATAAAGTTCAAGTAGAAATGAAGTGTTCGAATTTCTCCAATATGTTGTTCACAGCTTGTCCTGTAGACCTCGATATCTAGCTCAGAGAACAAAACACCATAAAAGTATGATTCTGTTTTTTTTTGTATCAATGGGTCTATATCATAAGCTGTGAGTCATATATGGAGAAATTCGAACACTTCACTTCTGCTTGAAGTTTGTGCTGAAGATATCGTTCAGAAGAACGATTCATCCAGCTCAGAGGACAAAACTCCATCAAAAATGTCCAATGATTTTTGAAGTAGAAGGAAATGATTGTCAAATATTATTTTATAATATAATGGAAAGGATTATACATTTGAATAATATGTATATAAGAAATGATCAAATCATTGTGACGAAATACAATGAATTCATCGTATTCTACAAATCTTATTGTCCTTACTTTGTTTGAATTTGTAAAGAGAACCAATTATATGATTTTTGAAACTCATTTATCTTTTACAAAAAGTTATTTAATGGTTAAATTCATAAGTCGATTAAAGCTAGACCACAATGGAAAATCTGGAATCATCGGATGGACGTTACTTTCTAGTATAGGACGACTAAGCAGTGCGCATCTACGAATCCACACTCGGGATTCTAACCCAGGACCTTGAGTCTCATGCGCGAACTCTTAAGCTCTAGAATAATGAGCCAGCCGGGATCCAACGCCGTTAATGTTTAACATGAACCAATCCATGATATCTCAACAGCGTCCATCAATGTGTTCAGTGAGTAGCTACCTCATAACAGACCGGGTTGAACTCCGTCAGTTACGGCTTCTCACTAGAACTCCAGGAAATATATCTTGAAGTCAGTCACTGGTGACACACACCATGATTGTTATCAGAATGAGGGTTTGTGGAGGTTGTAGTAATTTAACAGTTGAATTTGTTGCTACAATAAATAAGATTTTCAAATATTCAAAATAAATCAAGTGTAGATAAGGTTCGTTTGGCATATTTTTCTTGTGTAGTTTTAATCAGTATAAAATTAATTTAGATCACAAATCATACGTTTGTGAAGCGCTTGCATGCGAGACCGTTAGGCCCTGGGTTCGATTCTCGCGAGACGGGTTCGTGGATGCGCACTGCTGAGGAGTCCCAAAATAGGATGGAACGGCTGTCTAGTGCTTCCAGATTTTCCATTACGGTGTAGCTTCAATTGACTCATGATTTCAACTATTGAAATTACTATAATCTGCACAAAACTCCTTCTGAAAATAAATTACCTTTATAAAATTGGTTTACTAATATGAATTTATTTCTTTAACTGGTTCTCTTCAACTTCATACAATCAAAGTATAACCATATTACTAGTATAGAGGTTGTGGAGATTATTAAGTTTTTGATTAAGATCATGAAACGATTGTTGTTAGACCACCTTTGGAAACCTGGAAGCATCGGACGGCTGTTCCGTCCTATTTTGGGACTCCTCAGCAGTGTGCATCCACGATCCCGGTCGCGTGATTCATACCATTGTACATATTTATCTATATTTGATCTCAAAGCGATCTTCATAACACATATGCTGGTTATAAAAGACATTACATAAGAACACAAATGTCTAGAAAAGTAAGAAAAAACAGAAGATCATTAATATCAAATACAAAAGTTTTCTCCGTTTACTTTCCTCCTCTTCTTTCCTCTTCAATAACATGAATAGGTTTCTTTTGTTATATAAATATAATGAGTGAATAGATTTACAATGGTAACTGATTATAACTCAAATTGTAACTAAGATAAAGAGACTATGAAATAAGATGTTACGTAAGTAATTGGAAATGACAGTCTTGAATGGTAAAAGTATCTAACACATGAATCGATTCATTTTAAAATATTCACCGTCTAATATAAATTGACCATAGTGAGATTAACTCAATTTCCTTCCGTTATTGATTTCCTTCTTTACAGTTGTTATCTCTAAATTTCTAGAAAATTGTCTGGTTTTAAGGCTTTAATTAACCAATGAGAATTTGTGAAAGAAAAATGAATTCTTGATTGATATCATGAATCGATTGATGTTGGACCATTATTGTAAACCAAGAAGCACTGGATGGCAGTTTCGTTCCAGTATGGGACTCCTCAGAAGTGAATACATGAACCCGCACTCAGGATTTGAACTTAAGAACTAACGGTCTTACGTGCGAATGCTTAACATCTGGACTACTGACCCGGTATTCAACGGTGTTAATGTCTAACTTGAACCAATTCACTATATGGAGCGACCATCTTCCACTGTACCGTGGTAGATACCTGTCTCCATCTGACATAAATTATGTTCATTAGTCACGATTCGTGATCTCAATCAAAAACTTAACAATCTCCACAACCTCATAGTGAAAACTGAATTCATCTTATTCAGATATGTTACCTATGCTTTTTCAAGCTTAATAATGAGAGAAACTGGTCTATATTTCTCAGGGAATATTTTACATTATTTTTATGTTACAAATCGTTTGTTAAACTGCCATTAGTGTCAGTTACTATGTTATGTCCATGCAGCTTATTCTAGCTTATGGACAGGCCAATTTATCCATTCTTCTTGAGTCACCTTTTGATTTTGTTAATTATTCACTTTTCGCCTTTGATTGTTTTGATATGAACGTGCGTGTGTGTGCTTCTTATCCTATTCATCACATATCTGAAGCTTATTGTTGTCTGACTATAAATATCGATTCACGCTTGATTAAATCGAGTTGGCTGGCATTCCTTCTCCACTGCTCTCGCTCCGTTTCACATCACTCTCTTCCATTCACTTCCTTTGCTTCGTTCATTTGATTGTCTGTCCATATCAGCGTGTACAAAACATATGTATTTAGGACTTCATTCTCGTATTTAACTTATTTTATTCCATTATTCACTTAGTCGATTCAAGTTGATGATTGACGATATGTATATTTCAATAACATTCATTCATATGATCGACTAGGAATCAGCTACCTGGCTACTGAAATACTAATCTACAAATTACATCTTATATACATTGATCTATCAAAGTTCTTTACCTAACTAATTCTTAGTCAGTATAACTGACATTAAATTATTATTAATACTAGACATACAGAGAAGAAAAAAATTCAACCTGATTTTAGACATTTCGATTCTAAACTACAACAACAAAACATATTTTCCTATCAAATAGACTACTTAAAACATAATTGTCAATCATCTTAAATCATTTAAACTATATTTCATTATTTCCAAATACTTCAATATTAACATCGTATTATAGTGTATGCTACTTATATAGACAGATATAAGTAGTATATAACACTAATAGAATGTTGAAAACGTAGAAGCAGAAGGCTAAGATTAGAAAGGAATTGTGAATTGGAAGATTCAGACAGAATGTAAAGTACAATTGATGGAAGATCAGTAAATGATGCGTTTAATGTATAATTCTTATATTTTAATCAAAATATTCAACAGTAAATTGGTCATCCTCAATTAAATCTTCGAGATAAAATCATTGAAACTAAACACATTTACTGAGTTACATGTATATATCACAATAGCATATAAATGTACTTACTTACTTACGTCTGTTACCCCCAATGGAGCATAGACCACCGACGAACTCCACCTAAAGCCCCTCTGGAGATGATGCCGGTCTCGAACCTGGATAAAAGAGAAGGGTTGAGCATGGGGTTAACGATCCCATCCCGTAGAAAACCAGAAAAATAATATAGATGTACTTAGAATGTGCACATAAAATCAAAATGTAGATTCCTATTAAACACGCTTCTGTAATGGTTATTTAATCCAAGCAAATAACATAGTACCTTTTTGAATTCAGACATGAATGTCCTGTTCACTCAGAAGTTAACTTCACTGGTTGGTTCGTTTAGTTGCGACGATAAGAGCTAGATTTTCATAAGGTAATATCATTTACGAAATACCCTTCGATACTTAAATAATCATATTCTTCCTTCCTGATAAGCTTATTGAAAGGTTTGAAATACAGAGTTATCCGCATTGATAGAACAGACATTTAGGCACCGATTACGTGTCAGTGATTGAAGTATATCAGTAATGGTAATCTTTTTCCTTCTCAAATTTTTGAAGAATCATTTTAGTGGATGCGATTGAAACTAGTGAGCACCTTTCATTTGTGATGATAATGATCATTCATTGACTAATAATCAGTAATAAGAGGAAATTCGCAGAGTTCTAACGGGAGACTTTTACCATATTAAGGAAAAGGGAGGTATCCACTGAAGATAATGAAACGTAATATCGTGAATTGACTAAATTTAAAAATGTACGTCACTGGATCACGTATCAAGGGTATAGAGGTTAAATGTTTGCGTGCATGGACGACGTCCTTGGACAAGCGGTTGTGGGTGAGCATTTCTGAGGAGTACCATGTAAGGATAAAACGACCGCCGAGCACCAGGCCTTTAATGATTGTTGTTCGTAATTTAAATACAAATCTGAAATTTCTGAGTTAATGGTCATTTTAATATCCTAATTAGCTTCTTGATCAAATAATTACTCAATACTTAGTTTCTTATTACTTTTTGTCAAGCTGTATACTTATTCTATCATTTTAAAGTGTTCGCTGTTAAGTTATTCAAATGTAATATGATAACAGGGGGCTTGAATTTTAGTTCGAATGATTTCTCATTACATTTAAATAACTTACCGACTTCTACGTGAAGTTTGTGCTGATGATGTCGTTCAAAATAATAGCGAAAGCTCCACGAACAAAACATCCAGCTAAGAGAACAAAACTCCATCAAAAGCTTACCGACATACGTAATATACAAAGTTTAATCCATCGGTTGAGTTCTGATGGA